AGGGGTATGTACCACGAGGAGAGGTTAAGGAAACTCATCCTGACGACACTGGAGGACATGAGTGATAGGGCGCACATGATAATGACATATAATACTGAAACGAATTGACAAGGTGGATAGGGACAGAATGTTTCGGAGATGGGACACAGCAACAAGGGGGTCACAACTGGAAGTTGAAAACTCAGACAAGTCACAGGGATGTTAAGAAGTATTTCTTCAGTCAGAGTTGTCAGGAAGTGGAACAATCTGGAGAATGATTTAGTGGAGGCAGGATCTATATATAGCTTTAAGAAGAGGTACGATAAAGCTCATGGAGCAGGGAGAGAGTGGACCAAGCAGCGACCAGCGAAGAGGCGGGATCAGGAGCTGTGACTCGACCCCTACAATCACAGCTATGTGAATACACACGCACACGCACACTAAAAAAATATTTACGATGACATGGATGATTTAGCCAGGCTTGTTAGAGAGAAGTATGTTACCTGCTTGAGCGAACACAATACACTCTGCTTAAGTTGGTTAGTAACCAGGACTACCCCAGAGTGAAAGCAGCGGCAACTTTCATATTTAGTGTTCGACCCTGTGGTAAAAAACAAAAAAACAAAAGAAAAAAACAAGGAAGCGAGAGAGCGCTAGTATGCCTGAGCTACATAGCGTCCGGCCATCTCAGAGAGAAAGAGAGAGTCACCCATAAAGCCCATTCATCTGTTCATTCTCTATGAGACATTGAGAAGATATTTTTTTATATGATGAGAGCTTTTATGACGGATTTTCTTTTATTTCCGAGACATGGTCCTTGTGAAGTGACCTTGCCATCTGCCCTACAGCAAGAGGTCAGGGAAAAATTGTAAAGTGACCTTGATATCTGGTCCCACAGAAAGGGTGTAGGAGAATTTGTAAAGTGACCTTGATATGAGCCCTCACAACAAATGGTGGCTCTCAGCACAGGGACGTTTATCCCTTGTAGTGGGAGGCTTCTTGAGGACTCCGTCTGAAATTATATTTATCGGCCAAAGTAATGAGCGACATGTTGTTTTCGAAAAATTATCTGGAAGGGGGCAGGGGATTTACAAATAATTGACAGACTTGTCACTAGTCTGGAGGAGTTGGTAATAGTTCGCTTCATCCCTTTGTGGGTAGGGACTATAATTGTCTCCCAGAAAAAGAGAACACATCATCGGGAGCTCCCCTCAAGGGAGGTAGGTTCCTTGATGCTGGTGAGGGGCTCTTTATATAGGGAATTGGATCTGTGCTCCAGTTCCCTGAATTGAGCCTGAATGCCTTCCATCCCCCCACATGCGCTGTATAATCCTCTGGGTTTAGCTCTCCCCCATGATTATAATAATAATCATCAGGAGCTTCCGAAGTTGCAGAAAAGAGGAGGATGTCCAAGCAAATATGGTCACAAAGGACGTGTGCAGTGCAGACGTCCTTTGTGATCGTCTGCAGCGAAGACGTCCTTTGTGATCGCATTTGCTTGGACATCCTTATCTTTTCTGCAATTTTGCAAGCTCCTGATGAGGTGTTGATTGCAACACGAAAGGCCTAGAGCCATCATTCTACTCCCCCCTTGGTTGTTTTGCATCCTGTATCGCTTGATTTGCGATATTTGCGTATTATATGCTCATATGGAGGTCCCAAGATTTATACGTTACCAGGAGATCATTTCCTGGTGATCAGGAATGACATCATCAGTGCACAAATAACCCGCACATAGGAGAAAGAAACTTATGACGATGTGTCGGTTCTACTTGGACCATTAACTAATGACAGTGTGTAACTAACTAATGATTCAAATCGAACCGAAACGTTATCATAAATTTCTTTCTCCTATGTGCGGGTTAATTATGTACTTTTCCAGTCACGGTATTGTGCCTTCTTATTTTTTTTGACATCCAAGGGCTGAGCATGTGTCGTTTCACTACAGCATACAGCAGTACCTTCTTAGTGACTGTAAATCTGTCGTTACATATGTGAGATTTAGCAGAAAAAAAAAAGATTTGCAAAGTTTTCCGAAGCTCCCTCTTCCAGGAGCGGAAGCAGCACCGAGATGATGAGTACTCACCGAAGAAAATTTGCTCTCGTCAACGCTGGTAAGGTCCCGTATGTTGGTAGTCAGGATGTTGATGGACTAACGTTCATGTGGTCTTGTGTAAGGCACAAAGTCACCTGCAGAGCAGAGATAAGAGTGAGTGAATGTTCACAGAAACTGAGATCCCATTGGTTTGAGATATTATCTCTAAAACCACTAGTGGTCCTTTCTGTCCAATTCTGTTTTAATGCTACATTTATTCTGTTGATGTCTTGTGTTGCAATTGCAATTACCTCTCATATCTCGCATATATATATTATCAGTTTAGTCTGTGGCAGCCCAGGAGAGCGATGTTCTGATCACCATGCTTTTTGGCGTTGATTTAGTAAACGGTTTCCTTGAAAATTCTTTTGACCTTAATTAGAAAGTTCAGATCGATGCTGAGTCGGTAGTTTGTAGGGCTGTGTTCAGGAAGATGAGAGGTCTGTGGATTGTAAACTGGACCTATTCCATACCCTCGTTCAGTTCTCCTACCATTACACCCTAGTTTTGATCGCTTGTTCCGGCACATGTTCATGTATAACTGCCGGATGATTATATTGTATATATCCACAGCTGACACACTGGAGGCGCTGTCTCACTTAACATCCGAGCAGTAGTGTTTGTAGACTATATTTTTCTTCTTTTCCTGCCTGAGATTTGATAGCCAGACTTGGGTGATGAGAACCGCGACTCTCATCGTGAGTTATTAGTTATTAGATGAGATGCAGCTATCAGCTTCTAGACTTTCATTACCTAATCACATTATGACCATAGTGATGTCCTAAGATACGTTGATATTTTATATAATGGCTTTCCCTTCAAAAGGAGTGCCTTGATGCCGGTGAATGGCTGTTGATCCAAGAAAGGGGAGCTGGACTCCTTTTCTTGGATCAAACTTGATTACCTATAATTTCCCAGGTGCTGTATGACCACTGTGAATATAAATGTTTCATAATAATGGTGCTGCCTTGATGCTGGTGAAAGACTCTTGATCCAATCTACTGGAAACCTGATTACTCCTTCCATTTCCCAGGCGCAATATTGACTTCAGCGTTCAGAGTTTGCCCATGAATGTACGAACATGGATCCAGCCTGACCGATGTCAGTATTGCAGATTCCCAGCAACTTTCTGTCGTGGTTAATGTGACGGTCAAGACCGCAGCACCTCGTCCGTCTTGTAAGCCTCAGTTCACACGCTGTAAGAGTATTCAGATTCTTTTACACACATTGGAGCGAAATCAAAGAGTTTACTGGGAGACTGCGTCGCTGTAATGATGCTCCGTGGCCTGGTGGCTAAACTCTCGCTTCACACGGCGAGGGTCTGGGTTCGATTCCCAGCGAGGGTAGAAACATTGGGCGTGTTTCTTTACACCGGTTGTCTATGTTCACCCATCAGTAAAATGGGTACCTGGGAATTAGTCGATTGGTGTGGGTTGCATCCTGGGACAAAACTGACAATTTGTCCGAAATGCTCTGCATAACAAACGACTTTCTATATAGTAGTACGTCATTGATGTCAGCTAGGACTGTATACCTTGTACATACATGTAGTTGTAGTAAATAAAGATATTATTATTAATGTCATTCTCCTCACGCTGGTGAAGGGCTCTTGATCTAGGGAATTGGATCTGTGTTCCGGTTCCCAGAATTGAGTCTGAATACCTTCCATCCCCCCCCCCACATGTGCTGTATAATCCACGGGTTTAGCGCTCCCCATGATTATATTATTATTATTTATTATTATTATTATTATTATTATTATTATTATTATTATAAATTAGCGCTTAGTTTTGATCGTTATAATAATTCCTCGGAGATTTTATCTGATGCAAAATCTTGACAAGGTCACAAAACAGACCAGTGATGCATATTCTTGTTTTTCTCGCCGGTGCTCACAGGATGAGCACCAAGTGCACAATATATAAGACTCACCAAGTGCACAATATACAAGACTCACCAAGTGCACAATATATAAGACTCACCAAGTGCACAATATATAAGACTCACCAAGTGCACAATATATAAGACTCACCAAGTGCACAATATACAAGACTCACCAAGTGCACAATATATAAGACTCACCAAGTGCACAATATATAAGACTCACCAAGTGCACAATATATAAGACTCACCAAGTGCACAATATACAAGACTCAGGACCACTAAAGGTAGACTCTTGCTCTTTTGAGGGGATTGCTTGAAGTGTTTCGGATCCGTCCAGTTGCGTTGACAACCCCAGTTTTTTAGTGCATATGTCACAGGTTTATGCTAGTTATGACCTCGAGATTAGTCAGCTGAATATAGTTGGTCTGTTGTCGGTGGAGCGACACTGGTTAGGAAAGTTGGGCTCCAGACATGAAGCTATGAGCGTTATCATCTATATCGAAAAATAATGCAAAAATATGTTGGACATCACCCAATAATTTAAGTAACTGTCTGTCTCCGTCTGTCTGTCTGTCTGTCTCGTACTCTACTTGCTTTGGCAAAATATTAATGCTGATAATGAAAGCAAGCGCAAAAATTCACGGAAAATGACTTTCGCAATTATTTTTTTTCAGTTAGATGTTCCGACTCCATTCAGTTGATGACGGCGGCGCCACTATCCGGAGCGCCCGGGAAATACTATTTCTTGATCCAAGGTGCTGGAGCTACCCTCTTCTAAGGATCAAAGTCTGCTTGTCTCATTCCCTCAAGCGCTGTATGGCCCCTTTGGGTTTAGCGTTCCTACGTGAATATGAGGTCTGTGTCGAGCCTTTTTAATGCCGGCTCTCTCCCACCTAAGTAGGGTGACCCAAGAAAGGAAACACACTCGCCATCATTCTTTCAATAGTTTGTCTTATGCAGGAATTATCGAACTATTTCTTGGACTCGCCCGTAGTGGCGCCACTAACTCTTCTTTACCATTGCATGGGTGGTTGGCGTGCAGGCGTGGGCGTGGTGTACGGCGTGGTGGCAGGGGCGGCGGGCGGCCTCTTCACTGTGGGCGGTTACACTGGCCAAGTCACCCTCACCACACCCTTGGACTACGAGACCAAACACACAGTGAGTATTGTCCTCTCGTCTCGTTCTGACCTCTTGTTCTTGTGTGCTATCATTCCTTCCAGGTATCCCTCAGGCATCCTTCAAGATTCGTTCAGGCATCCCTCAGGTATCCTTGAGGCATCCTTTAGGCTTCCTTCAGGCATCCCTCAGGTACCCTCGAGGCATCCTTCAAGAATCCTTCAGGCTCCTGCACTTTCCGTGTATCTCCACCGTTGCTTCAGACATCTCACAATTCACTTCTTCATCAGTATTCTTTTCACCTGATAATTGTACTTGTGTGATTGATATCTTCTTAAAATGTATAGATAAAGACAATCTGGTCATTCATCAGCATTCTGCTCTTTAGAGGAAACTACCTCCGTCGCACAAGGCGGTGACGGTGGCGGTGACGGTACATAACACTAGAAGCAGCCCGAGAGAGCCAGCGACAACATGAGTTTTTCTGGTGGCATAAGAATAATGGTGAGAATGTCGAGGGGAAAGGACCGGGAGAGAGCAGAGCGGTGAAAAGAAGAAAAAAAAAAGGTTTTGGGTAGAGAGAGAGAGAAGGTTAGGAAGGTTAAGTAGCCTGGCCACTTTGGGTAGGTTTTAAGGGACTGGTTTTTCTGATGGAACTGCCCGTAAAGTATTCGTTATTCTCGGTTGGGTTAAGTCGTATCTGGTTCGTATTATTATTATAATCAAAACTAAGCGCTAAACCCACAAGGGTCATACAGCTGTTGATGTACATAACTTTATAGCTCCACTAACATGTAAGAAACTGTCTTAATAACTCACCTTCCTTACACTCAAATTATAATTGTTTAAACTTGATAATATTTATACAGTTGTATTTATAAACTTGATAATATTTATACAGTTGTATTTATAAACTTGATAATATTTATACAGTTGTATTTATAAATTTGACCAAAGTTAAACATTGTCATTTATTTATTTTTATGTACTTACTGTGTCTTTTGTTAATGAATTTTTCATAAACTTAAGTAAATGTCCTACGATACATTTACAACATGTGTAAATGTAAATGAACTGTATAAATGTTTGTGTCGTATTACATCATAATTTACTTATATAAAAAATAATAATTGGATATATTTAAAACGAATGTAGACAAAATTGTCTACATTCGTTTATATATGAACGTAATGTGCTTTGATGCCAGTGAACGGGCTCGTGATCCAGAGAAATGGAGCTACCGTAGCTTAGCTCGTGTCTAATTGTCTTCCATTCTCCAGGCGCTGTATGAGCCCTTATGGGTTTAACGCTGCTCTCACGACTGGAATAATTGTCCCCTTTTAGTTTAATCATTTGGTTTTGCCACTGAACTGCAGAACGTGTGTAATTCAACGTTCCATGCAGGAGGAGCTGGCTGACTCCAGTAATATTTCTATTTTTGTCCTGCACAGTAGGCCTATATTGGTTCATTTGTGCTCATTATATAGATTCGTAGAAATCATTGCAACAGTTGTTAATCACTTGATCAGGTTAGGTAAGGTCTGTCAGGAAACTGTACAAGTGTTACTTGACGCGGGTCTCAGTCAAACGATGACCTTCAGGTGGAGCATTTGGTCACCTGACAGAGACCTTCCACTGGCTTACCTCTCCACCTCTTTAAAAATTATGGTTGTGATGTTAGTCACTTGATCAGCGAGATAAAGTATCAGAAGCTCAACTATCGTCAAGTGTATGTATGTGTGTACTCACCTAGTTGTCGTTGCAGGGGTCGATTCACAGCTCCTGGCCCCGCCTCTTTACTGGTCGCTACTAGGTCACCCTACTCCATGAGCTTTATCATACCTCTTCTTAAAGCTACATATGGATCCTGCCTCCACTACATCACTTTCCAGACTATTCCACTTCCTGACAACTCTGTGATTGAAGAAATACTTCCTAACATCCCTGTGATTCATCTGAGTCCTCTACTTCCAACTGTGACCCCTTGTTGCTGTGTCCCATCTCTGGAACATTCTGTCTCTCTCCACCTTGTCAATTCTTCTCAGTATTTTATATGTCGTTATCATATCCCACTATCTCTCCTGTCTTCCAGTGTAGTCAGGTCGGTTTCCCTTAACCTCTTCTCGTAGGACATACCCCTTACCTCCGGGACTGGTCTTGTTGCAAACCTTTGCCCTTTCTCTAGTTTCCTTACGTGCTCGGCTAGGTGTGGGTTCCAAACTGGTGCTGCATACTCCAATATATGCCTAACGTACACAGTGTACAGAGTCCTGAACGATTGCTTATTAAGATGTCGGAATGCTGTTCTTAGGTTTCCTGGGCGCTCATATGCTGCAGCAGTTATTTGGTTGATGTGGGCATCAGATGTGCCAGGTGTTATACTTACCCCAAGATCTTTTTCATTGAGTGAGGTTTGTAGTCTCCGGCCCCCTAGACTGTACTCCGTCTGCGGTCTTCTTTGCCCTTCCCCAATCTTCATGACTTTGCATTTGATGGGGTTGAACTCCAGGAGCCAGTTGCTGGACCAGGCCTGGAGCTTGTCCAGCTTCCAGCCTGTGTGTGTGTGTACTCACCTAATTCACCTGATTGTGGCTCCAGGGATCGAGACTCAGCTCCTGGCCCCGCCTCTTCACTGAGTGCTACTAGGTCCTCTCTCTCCCTACTCTATGAGCTTTATCATACCTCATCATAAAGCTATGTATGGTTCCTGCCTCCACTACCTCACTTGCTAGGCTATTCCACTTCCTGACTACTCTGACTGAAGAAATACTTCCTAACATCCCTTTGATTCATCTGGGTCTTCAACCTTTAAATTGTGAGCCCATGTTTCTGTGTCCCCTCTCTGGAACATTCTGTCCCTATCCACCTTGTCTATTCCACGCAGTATTTTGTATGACGTTATCATGTCTCCCCTAACTCTCCTGTCCTTCAGTGTCGTCAGGCCGATTTCCCTTAACCTTTCTTCGTAGGACATTCCCCTTAGCTCTGGAACTAACCTATTCGCAAACCTTTGCACTTTCTCTAATTTCTTGACGTGCTTGATCAAGTGTGGGTTCCAAACAGGTGCTGCATACTCCAGTATGGGCCTGACATACACGGTGTACAGTGTCTTGAACGATTCCTTACTAAGGTATCAGAACGCTATTCTCAGGGTTGCCAGGCGCCCATATGCTGCAGCATTTATCTGGTTGATGTGTGCTTCCGGAGACTTGCTCGGTGTTATACTCACCCCAAGATCTTTCTCCTTGAGCAAGGTTTGCAGTCTGTGGCCACCTAGCCTATACTCTGTCTGCGGTCTTGTTTGCCTTTCCCGATCTTCATGACTGCATTTGGCGGGGTTAAATTCGAGAGGCCAGTTGCTGGAGCAGGTGTCCAGCCTGTCCAGGTCTTTTTGAAGTCCTATCTAATCCTCATCTGATTTAATTCTCCTCATTAACTTTACATCATCTGCGAACAGGGACACTTCTGAGTCTAACCCTTAAATCATGTCATTCACATATATCAGAAATAGCACTGGTCCTACGACCGACCGCAGGTGCCCACTGTGACACCTCATCACGTACCATGACTCCCTGTCGGGTATTCTCTGATCCATTGCAGTGTCCTTCCTGTTATATGTGCCTGATCCTCTAGCTTCTGCACCAGTCTCCAGTGAGGAACTGTGTCGAAGGCCTTGCAGTCCAAAAAGGTGCAATCAACTCACCCTTCTCTCTCGTGTCTTACTTTTGTTACTTTATCATAAAACTCCAGTAGGTTTGTGACACAGGATTTGCCTTCCATAAATGCGTGCTGGTTGGCGTTTATACTCTTGTTCCGTTCCAGTTGCTCCACCACTCTCCTCCTGATAATCTTCTCCATGAATTTGCATACTATACACGTCAGTGACACTGGTCTATAGTTTAGTGCCTCTTTTCTGTCTCCTTTTTTAAATATGGGTACTACATTTGCCGTCTTCCATACCTCATGTAGTTGCCCGGTTTCAAGGGATGTGTTGAAGATTGTGGTTAGTGGCACACACAGCATTTCTGCTCCCCTCTCTAAGGACCCACGGGGAGATGTTGTGTAGTCCCATTGCCTTTGAGGTATCAAGGTTCCTTAGCAGCTTCTTCACCTCCTTCTCAGTTGTGTGTTTGTCATCCAACACTTGTTGGTATATTCCTTGTTGGCGTCCCCCTCTGTTCTGTCCACCCAGAGTGTGTGTGTGTTTGTGTGTGTGTCCCCCTGGTGTCAACACCTCGTGTCAGTGTTGCAAGGGCCGGTCAAGTTGCATGAATGACATGATAACCGTGATCAGAAGTGCAGAGCTGGCTTTTATTGTGACAGGCTTTCGGTTATTGTAGAGCGAAATACTGACTCTATTCAGCTCAGCAGAGCGAAACGGTGTCACATTACAATCTTGTTCTGCACGTGTATATTGTCATAGAGTGTACACTACGCTGTTGTATCATCGTGATATATGAACTGTTTTTGAAGCTCTGGCGAATAATTCAACAGACGAATCTTTCAACGAATATTATAATAATTTCAAAGGCCCTGCCACGATGCAGTGTTTATTGTGACCCTACGGATTTAGCGTCTCTCCCGAATATAATTATAACTCACATAATAGCGTGTGTATCAAGACTTTCGGCATAATTAATCTCGCTGTGTCCCTTTGTATAAAGGAAGTAGCCTATTTTGATAGTACATGACGCTGTTGTTATACCTTAGACTATTTCACCAAGATAGTCTCCCTCTTAATAGGTTAAACAATATTCACCACAATATTAATGAGTGCTTAGAAGCGTTTTATACAAAAAAGTGTGTGTGTGTGATCTATATATATGTATCTGTATGCATGTATATATATGTATGATTATAAACAAACGCAGAGAAGCGTGTTGATATATCTCAGATGACCATCTGGAGTCAAACATCCTCACCTCTCTATAGTGTAAGTACTGTGTGGAAAAAAACACTTATGTACAGTTCAGGACATTTATTAAAGGAAACGTTTCGCCACTCGTTGCGAAACGTTTTGTTAAATGAACGTTTTAATTATT